CCAAGCGGCTCGGCGTGCGAGCCCTGCTCACCGGTGCGGGTAAGTGCGGGTCTCCGGCTCTGCGGCCGCCTAGCTGCTGGTCCCCAGGCGGGTCGTGCGCATCGCGCTGCTGCGCTGCAGGCTCACAGGTGGCCCCGCAGCGGATGTGGCGCCCCAGGCCCAGCTCCTAGTTAGCCAACTCTCTCCTCTCGGGGGCGCGGGTTGCCAGCCCCTGTGTGGCCCACCCGCGCTTGTCTCGGAGCGAGGGCACCGGCAAAAGCCTGACTTAGGAGGGAGGGGATGCGCAAAGACGCCCCCCCCCCCCAGCTATCCGGGAAGCAGTGGAGCAAGCACCACCCCAAAGGCATCGCAGCTCCCGGCTCGCAGGTGGGGTCCGGCTACCCTTTCATTTTATTTTCTTATTGACCCTCCATGGAAAAAGTTTAAGATCATGCAAGGCAAAGTTGGGGCGCAGCTGGGGGCACATCCCAGAGAGCAGAGGAATGGATTTTCAGAGCTCACCCTGGAGCTGATCTTGCGCCCTAGGAGTCCAACCCTGCCTCTAGCCCTGACCCGGCACTGTGACAATCCCTAGAGCGCTGCCAGTCGCTTAATCACGGGTGCTAAGCATAGACATCTGCAGCCTGCCCGGCATCCGATGGACTAGGGTTATCTGAGGAGCGGTAACAACTCAACCTGCATTGACTGCTAGTCTTGCTCTGCTCCAGCTAATCCCAGTGTGTAAGTGGCGTGTGTTTAATTAGCTTATTTTACACCTGAAGTGATCTCGGCGGATGCTCCTAAAATGAAATCATTGGCACCGAAAAAGAAAACAAAAACAGGAAATGTAAAGGCTTGTTTAGAAGAAGAATCTTAACTGTAGGAGCAGTCGTGTGGGGTACTTTACCCACCTCTTCCGTGGAACAGCGAATCAAAACTCTGCTTTGCATATCTGGCATAAAGGATAGGTGTTGGGGATACTGGGGGAGGATATTATGGACGGAGGTGTTGCTGCAACTTGCATGATGTTTACGAAATACACATTTGGTCTCTCCAAATAACCTCCTGGTCATGTCACTGTGCTGAGCTTTGCTTAAGCTACTGAAAATAAGACTAAAGGGTTTTTTTTGGTTGTTACTGTTCTAAAGCTCCAACTGAAAATGGTATTTAGATGCTTTAAGAAAACAGCTTTTTCGGTGTCGCCAGGACATTTTTTTTTTTTTGTAAGCTTAAATATTTAAAGAGCAGGTTTTCTGTATCTGACATGAGACACTTTCATGAAAAATAGCTATGTGAACAGGAAAGCAGTATTACTACCTCCCCAAATCGTCCTTTCCAAATGATAGGTTCAATCAGAAAATGCACCGAATTACATAATTGTTCTAGAAGAAAACATAGTGGATAATGGTCAGTTGTCAAGAACTTAGGCCTGAAAGAAGTGGGACCATTTTAGCACTGAAAGATGTTGCAAGGCTTCAAATGGATAAATTGACTTCCACCTATAAATTTTTTATACTTACACACACGTCAGCTGTCTAAACCTAATATCAGATGTGTTGAAATATTTACTTGGTTTTATACATGTGTGATTATGTGTCCATTCTAGAGACCACTTCTTCCAAGGGCTACTTTTGTTTTAATCATCTTAAAGCAGTTTGTGAGAATATAGTTCAGTGGCAGAGTTATTGTCTGGAGTGTTTGAGGTACTGAATGTAATCCTCAGTGCCCTCCCCACCCCTGACACACACACACACACACACACACACACACACACACACACACACACACTAAAAGCAATTCTGGCTGATTGGCAAGGACTTTAATTGTCTATAACTCTCTCTCTCTCTCTCTCTCTCTCTCTCTCTCTCTCTCTCTCTCTCTCTCTCTCTGTGTGTGTGTGTGTGTGTGTGTGTGTAGTGAGGGATCAAACCCATAGTCCCATACATGCTAAGTAAACACTTCACCCTAGCTCTGTTCCCCAGTTATAAAATAAGGGAACCCAGGGCTGGAGAGATGGCTTGGCTTAGAAGTTAAGAGCACACACTGCTCTTGCAAAGAACCCAAGTTTGGTTCCCAACACCCATGTTGGATGGATCACAACTGCCTGTACCTCCAACTTCAGGAGATCCTAGGGCCTCTTCTGGACTCCCAAGGACCCCTGCACTCTTGTGTGCACATACTCATACACAGACACACATAATTACAATTAAAAGAAATCTTTAGAAAATAAAATAAGGAAACTGGGGTACAGAGACATTAGGTAACTTACCTGTGAACACGTACTATAGGACAAGACTTTATTGTATCTGCAAAGTTATTTTTATAAAAAGATAAGATTTTTGTGACCTACTTACCTTTGTTGTTGTTCTTATTTAAGCATAGCTGGTGAAATCTTCCTGTGAAGAATAAGGATCCCTAATTGTAGAAGTGCCCCACAAGCACCATTCACTAGGAAGCCAGGAACAGTATGACAGAACCATCTAGCCGAATCTGAAGTGTGAAGACCACCATATCCACCAGAAGACCCAGGATGGATCTGCACCAAAGTACCACAGTCAGGCTCCTGGAGAAATGGTGTTCCAATGAGTCACCATCTGGCTGCAGGAGACATTATAATGCCAGGAAAAAACTGAAGCTAATTCGAGTCATTGGCCTTGTCATGGGCCTGGTAGCTATGAGCACTGTCCCATTTTCAATCAGTGCCTTTACTGAGACAGACACTCAGAGCAACCCAGGAGAAGCCAGTGATGTGAGTGGCCCTCGGGTAGCACAGGGTCACCATCAAAGAACTCTCTTAGATTTAAATGACAAGATTCCAGATTACACCACACAGCCACCTGCTTCTCAGGAAGACAAAGCTGAGAACAGCACTGATCATGAGCAGGGAGACTACCCAAAGGACATCTTTTCCCTGGAGGAGCGCAGAAAAGGTGCCATCATCCTCCACGTCATCGGGATGATCTACATGTTCATAGCCTTAGCCATCGTCTGTGATGAGTTCTTTGTTCCTTCCTTGACTGTCATCACTGAAAAACTGGGCATCTCTGATGATGTGGCTGGAGCCACCTTCATGGCTGCAGGCGGGTCTGCCCCAGAACTTTTCACGTCTCTCATTGGGGTCTTCATTGCTCACAGCAATGTTGGCATAGGCACCATCGTAGGTTCAGCCGTGTTCAATATCCTCTTTGTTATTGGCATGTGTGCACTGTTCTCTAGAGAAATATTAAACCTGACGTGGTGGCCGCTCTTTCGGGATGTGTCCTTCTACATCGTTGATTTGATCATGTTGATCATATTTTTCCTCGATAACGTTATCATGTGGTGGGAAAGCTTACTCCTCTTAACAGCTTACTTTGCTTATGTGGTTTTCATGAAGTTCAACGTCCAAGTAGAAGGATGGGTGAAGCAAATGATAAATCGCAATAAAGTTGTCAAGGTGACAGCACCAGAAGCCCAAGCAAAGGTCGGTGGACGTAGTCTTTACTTAACCGTTTTCTTAGCCATCGTTCTGAATGCAGATGTTTTGGCAATTGGCAGCTTGGTTTTGTTTTTGTTTTTGTTTTTAACTATAATGATCTTTGGGCTATTGTGGTAACAGATTGCATATGCATACTGCAGTTTTGTGAGAGCCAGTGAAAATAACAGTAGAAAATATAATTTGGGGGACATTGGTCTACAACTCTACCAAGTTTCCAAGCTACTACAGAGTTAAAAAGAACAATATAAATACAGGTTACATAAGCATTCCAGGGCAGACTCAGCATTGACTTGTTTTTAGGAAAATGTGCCCAGTGATTTTGTGAGCAATTGAGTTTTTATGGACATATTCTTAGCAATGTGACAGGGTTTTGTTTTTCAAATGAGCATATAGTGGAGATCAAGAACCATCTCTGTGAAGATGGTGAGGGGAGAAAGTTTGTTTTATGAGAGCTGTACCCTCCAGCAGCAGCTTGGGCTCAACAGCAGTTTGGCTTTGTTACGGTGGCTATAGTGATTTGTCCCTTTCTCTTTAAGTCAGTTTCATTTCATGGTGCTGGGGACTGGACCCAGTGCCTCTCGCATTGCTAGGCAGGCACCCCGAGACTGAGTGACGCCCCAGACCTATACCTGCTTTTCGTGATCCGAGTGTTCTTATATGAAACAGATCAGCATCCACTGTAAAGGAACCCGCTGGCCAGCCCGGCACCTGCCTCTGTACTGCAGTAGCCCATTTTGCAAACCGTAATAAACATGACCCAATGTACTTTCACGGGAGAATTTGAGGTAATGTTGCCTAATTAGGAAGCAGATCTGTAAAAAGCTAAAAAGAAACTGACCTGAAAAAAAAATATAACTTTGAAAGAAAAACAATAGATGAACAGCATCAGTGAATTTTTATATAATTTCATAATTATGCAGCATTCTGATTTATAGCCTAACTTTATAAAAAGTCATCTTTGAATGTGGTTTTAAACAGAAAACCCAAGTTGATAACAGAAACTTTCCATGTTTGCATGTGGGAAAATTTTCACACTTATTAAAAAAAAATGTTTGAGTAGTGGTAGGAGATTTGATCCTAAAGAGAAGAAAAATGATACTATTTTAGTTAAATTTGCATGATTCCTTTATAGACTAGGTTGATGATCATGATTTTTGTAGTAACCACAAAGTAAAAGCAGAGTGAAAAAAAAAATCACTAGTAATACCTACATAGACAACAGAAGAGTATACATTAAAACATGCAGAAGAGAAGTGTTTAACCATCTTTATCATGCACATGTGCACGATGTGTGTCATCGGTGGGTACCTGGGCCACACTGTATGTGTCAGTCAGAGGACAACTTGGTGGACCTAGCTTCTTCTTTCATCTGTATGTGGGTTCAGAGAATTAAACTCTGGTCACCATGTTTCTGTAACAAGCGCCTTCACCTGTTGAGATATCTCTCTGGCCCAAGACATGTTTATACTATATATTTCTTCCAACATTTGTTTCAGTGTGTGCTTGTTGAAAGCTGCAGTTTATAAAGTTACTTGGCACCATATATAGCAAGCATGCATTCACTTGTGACAGCTGAGGACATGCCCTTCATGGCATTTGACAAGGGCATATTTTATGTTCTGTGCTCTACCTTAATAACAAAAAGGATGTTCCTCAACTTCTCTTCAAGTGTGTTTGAGTGATTTGCTTAGAAGTCTGTGATCTATTTCAATCAAAATACTGGACAGTTCTCAGGAAAAGCCATAGTTTTGAGAAGCAAGAAAGTGGTCTGGCACCCTCAAAATACCCTGGGGACATCAACAGTAAAAAGTCTTTTGAGGAACTATGCCTTGGGACTTTTTTTTAAATGCTACTGTTGACCTTCTTTACTTAGATATACTTGGTTAAAAATTGTGTTGGCCATATTTGCAGATGCTGTTGGAACTCAGAGTTTGTATTCTGATTTTAGTCAGGGTAGGAATGCAGCTGGTTTCTTGCACCTGGGAAATAACTTTTTAAACGCAGGCCACAGAGTGCACTCAGTCAGTCATAATCTGTTCATTAAAGTAGAGCTGGTGGAGCTTTTCCCTGCTTAATTAGATGATTGTCATGTCACGTCTCTGGTCGTTTATAAGTCAGCAATTCGGGCTGACATTCCTTACCTGATGGTTTTTGTATCCATAATTTTATTCTTAATTCTGTGTTCTTTTTAATTTGGAAATTCTGAGTATAGCTTAATCTTATCGTAAAGATAGTGGTTATAATCCTAAATATTTCCACATGTGTTGATCCTCTTATTGTCCTTTCATACCACACAGTTTTCATTTATTCAATAATCATCATTTCTTTTGGCATTTGATAACTAATTGGAGTGGGTGTTTTTTTGTTTTGTTTTGTTTTGTTTTTTTCTCAACAGAGCTGTGTCTTGCTTGAGCACACCCATACGTTTTCAAGCGGGATGGTTCATAAGAACTTGATTTCCTTTAGGAAACTGTACCTTGTCAGTTTCTCTGTGGAATCACTGCTGGAACGTTGAAGTAACTCCAGCCCTATCGCCTTCCAGGTTTCAGAATCCTGTAGCGCTTGCTCCCCAGCTCTGAGCACAGATGTCTCTGGAGGGCTGGGTTGAGTATAACCATTTGCCTTCTGGTGTGCTGAGCTCACTTTGACTCCAGGAGCTCCTTTCTGTGAGTCAGTGAGTCAGTGCTCTGTTGTCATCAGGCCACTTAGAAAGAGAGTCCCTGCACAGAATGTAGCTCACCGACATCTCCGTAGGAAGAAGTGTACTATATAGGTATCTAGAGAGCAAATACTAGCATGTTTTGCGCAAACTCACCTCCTTGCCTTGTTTTTGCAATTACGGGGCAGGAGAGTTTGAGAACATGGAGGAAACACATTTTAGATAACCTCACACAGATCATCAGATGGTCCTTGCTAATCAACTCTTCTGGGCTCAGCACAGTGAAATGGCTTTCAAATGACTCACTTCAATAAGGAAGTTGGAAATCTTAATTTGGTTCCATGATGGATGATCTGTGCCAGGAAGCAATGGACTGTGACCTTAGAGAAATTGGGAATTCTTTTCCTAAAGTGTTACTGCCCCATGTGTGTTTTTCAGGTTTTGTTTTTGTTTGTTTTCAAATTTCCTTTGGTGATACTACTACCCTCTTCAAAAAGTTCCATAGTGTCATGACATGATACAGAGGCCCAGGCAGGAAAGGTTTTGTTGTTGTCTTTTTAATTAGTTCTTTGAGAGTTCCATACAGAATTATTTTGATCATATTTGTCACCCCTAACTTTTCTTGGCTCTGCCCCCTCTTCTTACCTACCCAACTTTGTGTCCTTATTTTTAATCCTTAAAGACCAATTTCTGCTTCCCAAATATTCTTGGATGTGCAGTCTTCCCCTGAAAGGGATATAGAACATATTTTCTCTTTGGGGCCAAACATTCTTTAGTCTCTTATTCTCTGCACCATGGTGAGCTGGGGTCTCTGTGTTAATCACCATCTACTGCAAATTGAAGCTTCTCAGATGTGAACTGAAAGATGAATTGACCTATATGTATAATAATGAGTCATTAAGGATTGGTTTAATACTCTGTCCATTTAGCAAAATAATAGTAGTAAGTGCTCTGGGGCCTTTCTCTTATCTAGCTACAGGCTCTTGGCTGTATAATGGTACCAGGTATAGGTTTCATCTTGGGGAGGGAGAATAAAATCTAATAAAAAAGGGGGTTGGTTACTCCCATGATATTGGTGCCATTATTATACCAATGCATATGTCTTGCCAGGCCAGTCATTATTGTAGCTTACAGGTTCATAGATAAGTATAATTACTGATTAGTTTTCTCCTCTGGTAGCATGCCTACTGCTTTTCAGCACTATGAAAACTAGCTAGTAGAGATAAAGCTTCCAGGTCAGCAGCAGTTTGATTTCTCTATGTTCTGTGACTCAAGTATATGGTGTCTTCAGAAACAGGATCTTACGGTCTAGCTGTGGTGAGTAGCCAAAAGCATGAGAAATAGCATGTAATGTTTGGGGACCATGAGACCTCTCTGGCCAATGACTCCAAAAGAAATAACTCATTCCTGGTGCTGGGCCTTTTATTTGATAGGCTGTGGTGTCTAGTGGAGGTATTGTTGCCCTGCTATGGGCAACTCCATTTTATCTCTCAATGTATGTATGTTTATTATAATAGGAGGTTTCTGTTGCAGAAAGTTTCTGTGTGTTACTTTTGAAAGGTTTTTAGTGTTATTTATCCATCTCTGTACTTCCTCCTCTACCCTGTTCGCTATTCCCCCATGCCAATTTAACCCTTCCTATTACATTACTCCCGATCTAACCCTTTATACCAATGCATTCTATCTCCCCTCCCATGAAACCTGTCCCAACTTCCCTGGGTATCAGGAAGGGGTTTTATACCCATCTATGTAACAAGCATCTAGTATGTGGCAAATGGAGTTTTTGGTTGGTATATGTTGGTTCCCTTCTTTTACTGTTCCATTCTTAAATGAAAAGTGAATCAGGATGAGTGATTATAGGCTTGATTTACAAAAGCATTCTTTGAAGGTCAAATTTACTTTAGTGACTCACTGGGTTAAGCGGGTTTCTGTGCCTCTTGGGGGATGTATTTACTATGTTATAACATTCATAAATCTAGTAGTATACAATGAATACCTGTGGTTCGCATGATATCATAAACTCCATTGAAACCACTTTTTTTGTCCTGAAATTTTATGCTTAGAATATTGCTTGAAATCAGGAGATTATTTGGAAGGGGCTCAGAAATATCTGTACTAAGTGCAACTTCAATTTAAGGCTTTTTTTTTTTTTTTTTTTTTTTGGTTATAATGATCAGGACCCTTTTCTTCCGGCCTCTTCCTAGCTGGCTAGTCAGAAATGTGCATGGTACAGGGTGTAGAGCTGTCTCTTTTCAGGACATGCAGACATTTTGGGGGAGCATCTGGCTTGGCTTCTGAGATCTGGCTTTGATGTTTCACTGTACTA